ATATTGATTAGTTTATAATTGATTAAAGAATTGCTATATGATATTGAATTAAATTGAAACAATGATTTCAATAATTATGAATCTAAATACTCACAAGCTATTTATATTGATTAGTTTATAATTGATTAGGGATTTGTTATATGATATTGAATTAAATTGAAACATTGATTTCAATAATTATGAATTTAAATACTCACTCGCTGTAATATAATTTATATTGATTAGTTTATAATTGATTATCGAATTGTTATATGATATTAAATTAAATTAATTTCAATAATAATTATGAATCTAAATACGTACAATCTGTAATATAATTTATATTGGTTTTATATTAATTACATATATTAAAAAAAAAAATTTACTAATCTTTTTAACTTAATCGTGCGCAATATTTAGATTCATCAATCAATGTTTTTATATATTATCTAAAATTGATTTAAAATAAAGTATTAGTAATAATATACCTCTTCCATCGATTTTCATCTTTCGTTTCTTCCGTTTCTCCTGTTTCTTTTCTTTTTTCCGTTTCTCTTGCTTCTTTTATTTCTTTTCTTTTTTCCGTTTCTACCATTTCTTCTCTTTCTTCGATTTTTTGAACAAAGACAGTCCCATCGGATTAAATAAATTCCGTTTTGTATGTATCTGTACAACAAGGATTATTTCTACCGAAATTTGGCATAGCATATTTCTTATTCATCAATTAAAAAACAATTAATGAATATATTGTAAATATCAATTTTTTATTATCAATCAGTAAATAAAAAGATTTGTTTTTGAATATACATAAGTTATCAATCGCCCCACAAGTATTTTTTACAAGTTTACGATTAATCCAATTAATTATTATTAATTACAATAGGCATATTTTGCAATTAATTAGAATTAATGACAATTTGGTTATATAAAAATAAATTTTGGTCACAAAAAAAAAAGACATTAAAGAAGAAAATAAAATCAAATATTATGTGGTATTGCAATAAAGTTCTTTTTTTTGTTATCGTCTATCATAATGAAAAATCTCTAGAAATCTTCATCGAAAAGAAATCCTCATTAATATTAAGAAAAAATATTTTTAGAAATCCATATCCCAACTCCATCTGTATTGTTTCTAGCGGGAGAATTGGTGTGGGTATTATTTCTCTGGTGATAATAGTGTAGTAGTAGGTGGGATACCGATTTGACATTCTCAGTTGGTTTTTGTTCTCTTGGTATCACCAATGCCCAAGTTCTTCCTATTATTATCATTTATAAAAATCTGAAGTATGAAACATGAATGAATTAAAATATAAATCAAAATTTAATCCATTTTAACGTACCACAAATTTTATTTCAGATAACTACCTACAGTAATTAAGTCATTTATCTAATATCTCTTCCACCATTAGTGTCAAGTGTTGTTTGAACTTTTAATATCACATTATGTTCTAAGGATGGCGAACTTTATAACCAGCAAATAAAATAAAAATAAAGTAACATTTTATGATATTTGATAAAAAAAAAATAGGATCAACAATCTCGTGATCAATTTTTTTTTAATTAAAATAGATGAAACATAAAAAAAAATATATTCCTCCTCGAACCCGAAATATTAAAAATATTAAAAAAATATGGTTGGTTAAATCAAATTTTATATTCATATAATTTAAATCTTTAAATTGCAAACCCGAAGATATTGATTACCAAGTATCGAATGCAAATGAACATTAAAATACGAATTTAAATAATTAATATATATATTAAAAAAAAAAAATCAAAATTAAAAGGTGAACGTTCCGAAAACAAGAAACACTTATTGTAAGGGTAAAAATTGTAAAAAGCATACTCCTCATAAAGTATCTCAATACAAGAAGGGTAAAGATTCATTGTATGCTCAAGGTATGTTAAAAAAAAAGACAGAAGATTTGGGGAATTACTTTTTTTTTTTTGAGATTAGAGATTATATTAATTTTCATATATTTTTTATAATATATTTTTTTTATATATTTAATTTTATTTAATTTTATTTTAATATATTTAATATTTAATTTTATTTTTCAATTAGGTAAAAGACGTTATGATCGTAAACAGTCAGGTTATGGTGGTCAAACCAAACCAGTGTTTCATAAAAAAGGTAAATAATTATAAATTTTCCATAAATTCTTTGATTGATACTTATAATAATCGGTTATTTATAATAATGTTTATTATTATAGCCAAGACGACAAAGAAAATTGTTCTTCGTTTAGAATGTCAGAGTTGTAAGGTAAATAATATGAAAATTGATTTCGTAATTTTATTTATAGTTCCAAAATTAATAATAAAAATAATAATAATTATGTTTAACGAAAAATAGTATAAACATCAAGTAGCAATTAAACGATGCAAACATTTCGAACTTGGTGGTGACAAAAAGGTAATTTGATAACATTTAATTTAATATTTAGTTTAATATTTAATTTAATATTTAATATTTAATTGATTTGACATTTGATAAAAAAAAAAAATTAATTATAAATTTTCAATTTTATTTTAGACCAAAGGAGCAGCTCTTGTCTTTTAAGATTTTTTTATTAACAATAAATGTAATATTTATGAAAATAAATAAAAAACAAAAAATTAAATTTTTTTAAATTTTTGTACTTTGTAATATTACAAAATAAAAATTAATAAATACATATTTAATTAGTCCCATCCTATTTGTTGGTCCCATCCTATTTGTTGTTGATCCCATCCTATTTGTTGTTGATCCCATCCTATTTGTTGTTCATAACTAAAACTATTAAATTCATTATTATTATTATTTTCGTAATTATTCGTTGTTGGCCACCACTCTGAATCATATTCATTATTTGAATATGTTTCTTCGTGTTCTTCTTCCTCTTCTCCTCCATCTCCAACTTCTTCTTGTTCAGGTTGATCAAGTACATATTTTCTATGTGCCAGAATTTCATCATCGTTAATAAATGTGAAATCCGTACTAGATCTAATTACTTCACATAATCTCTCTCTTTTCTTGCAAAGTTGTCTAATTTTATGAATATCCCATAAATCATCGACTTTAACCCGATTTGATTTATTTGATTTATTATTGTTGGTATCGTTATTATTATTATCGTTATTATTATTATCGTTACTATTATTATTATTATTATTATTATTATTATTATCGTTATTATCATTATTATCGTAATTATCTTCAAAATTCTCATTTTCATCTTCAATATTCCCATTTTCATCTTCATTATTATTATTATCGTTATCATAATAATCAATTCGATTACAAAGATATTTCATATAATAATGAATGTGATCAAGAATTTCCGAAACACTTTTATCGGGTTCATCATAAAATGGAAATTCAATACGTTCGATAAGTTCATAACTTCCA